TTGCTTGTCTCCATGGTCTATTTATATTTTACTGAATATGGTTAAGGCCAAATATCATTTTAGGTTAAGAGGGGTTTGTAAGGAAGAACAAAAGTAGAGAAAGAGTGGATACTTCTCAAATGAGACTAACACATACTAACCTTATAATTATCTGTTAAGGAATCTTGAAATATTAATGTTAAATTTTGTTATCTGAGCATAGAAGGCCAACATACTGCAAATGGGTTAGAAATGTATATTTGTGACCAACTTCATATTCATATGAATGTATGGGTGCGTGACAAATCTCAATGGGTCAAGCTAGCATTCATCCTTGTCTTAATTTGTTGTAATAATGTTTTTAAGAGTTAGTCAATGTTCCTTTTTGCAAAATGTTTCTTGAGTTAAATCAATTGTTTATGCAATCATAAGCGACATTTAACCGATATAAGATTCAAATTTTAGTACCTACAAGTTCTTTCTCTATTTTTAGGCTACAGGTTTTTTTTTTTTTTGTACAAAAAAATGTTTGTTGAGATGCATGACATTTTAATTATATATATATATTTTCAAATATTCATTTTGAAATGAATTCACAAAAGTCTTCCCTGTGCTTGCAGGATATAGAGCAACTTTTGAATTTCATCGGCATCAAGAGCTTAGGACCGCGACGTGTGCTCGCAAATTTGAAGGAGCTTATGAGGACTGTCCAATCTTCAGAATTTATGAATTCATGAATTTTGATTTACTAAGGTAAACTTAATTAGTTAATTACAGTGTAAATGGACAACTTATAATTCTTCACACACAACCCGGGTGCAAATTTTTGACCAAGCACCTTTCATAAAGCCTTAAAAAAGAATCGCAGTTTGGTTGTTACAAAATCAAGCCTAGAGTTGATTTCTAAGGAGCAGATTGTTTGATGTTACAGTAAAAATTCAGGTTCGGATGGTTCCCTTTCTAGATTTGTTTTAATATATGTTTTTTTGGTGAGAATATAAGTTGAGAAGATAGGGAAATTAGATTGTTGTGTATAAATGTTACATGACAAAGAAGTTCTAAAAACCGAACTAAACTTTGCAAGATAAACCTTTTGGTATAAAAAAGATAGTTTAATGTCTAATCGAATTTCATTGGAGTTGGATTTTAAGGGTCAGGTTTTACTTGATTTGATCTGGATTTTTTTTTTTGGGCAACAATGGATTATTTTTACGGTAATAAATATTTTTTATTTAAATTTAAAATTCAAATCTTTTAGAACATATTAAAATTATTAATTTAAAAATAATTTTTAATATTTTTAAACAGTAAAAATGATTGATTTGGATATAAATAGATGGGTCAGATGGATCCTAAACTTAAAAGTAAATTTGTCATTTTAAAATACGATACAACAAAAAGATGTAAAAATAATATAATTTAAATTTTTTTAAAAAATTATAAATAAATTTAATAAAATTAAAAAATTAAATTTTATGTTTTCGTAAAACTGTAATATGTTATATTCATATAAAATACGATATGAATATAATATTTTACATAATATAATAACATGAATTATCAATTCTACTTAAAAATATCAATAGAATTTTATTTTATTTGATCCAACTTATTCATGCACAACTCTATTTGTAAGAGAATGTTATATTTGTAAAAAATAGCCTCTTTTCGTAAGGTGTTGTTATTTTTGTAAAAAATGGATCAAATCGATTGTATTGAGAAGAGGAAAGGCTAGAATACCACGGAAACCCAAATCTTTTGGAATGTTCAACTCAATATTCATCACTTACCTGAGTTTGGTTCTCAAAACCATCTCTTGGAAAGTGCCACTGTTGATTTTGCAAACTCCCCTCTTCCCCAATTCCATTCCAATCGACCCAGCAATTGACTAAGGGTCTGCAAAACTTAGCTGAGAGAGCTGAGACACCATCACGCAAGCCTCGCAACTGAAAACACAGATCACAACTTTAAGTTGTTATCATTACATTATTCTTTTGCAGTAGTTTGTTCGGCTTAGGACCTGTCGATGTTGGTGGATATCCACGTTGCAAACACCATATATACAGGCATTTCAGGTTAAATGATTTCCAAATCCTGTAACATACATGTAATGACCATATTATTCTCAACTGAATTCTCTTTTACCAACTGGACAACATAAAAAGAATATCAATAACATAACTGGCTTTTCCTTTTTCCCTTTTCTTTTAACCAACAGAAAAAAGAACATAAGACATGAGTTGAACTTCAACCCAATTTAAAATTCATAGACTACAAGAATAGCATACAGTGTTGGTAAAGTTCATACCGCCTACTTTCAACTACGGTCAATAATTAAAAAATTATTATTATTATTACAAAGTACAATTACCCTAAGCTAAACGGTAGAGGGACCAAGATAAATGCCAGCCAGCTTATCAACAATCATTTACATTGATACCAAACAAAAAAAATAAAAACAGACCCTGAAAAAGGATAAAGGAAGAAAGTAATAATTCATCATTGACGATCAAGCACACATAACAAAGGCTAAAAGGTTTAGAATAAACACAGCCACAGGTGGTAAGCTCACTCTTCTCTCATTTTATATTCTACCTCAATCCTCTAAGCTGCTTTGCCTCTATCACCTCAATTTTTTAGAAGGTTTTAGAAAATAACCTTGCCATTCTAAGCAAACAAAATAATTGAGTTCTCTATTTAGCTTAGTTCCCACATAAGGAGAGCAAATGTTGGAAGACTTCAGTTAGCACGGCTAAGTAATACTTCACCATAAGATTTTAATTCCGGGAAGCGCTACATGGATTTTATCACTTCTAAATCCAGGGAGGGAAGGACAGGGAATTCAGAGAGCCACATTATAATTTGATATTCTACTTGCAATAAGCCTTTTATCCTAGTATCATGGTACCACTTTGGTATTGGATCCTCCAGGAAAACCAAAGGTAAACCTTGACGATAAGAAAATAATTAATGATACCAAAATAGATTGATGCCTTAAATGGGAAAAAGGATCCAGTGAAGTAGGCGTGGATGAGGGGTATTATAGTAATTTTGATTAAATATAATAAGGAGTATTTTTGTAATTATAATAGCATGACATAATAGTAATTTTGGTATTTCTGTAATTATGGTAGAAGGGCATTGTCATAATTTTGACTAATTATAAGAAAAAAGGTATTTTCTTAATTATAATGTAAAAGCATTATAATAAATTTAGATACATATCAAAATCACATCAAATAAACAAAGTGGTGTTATAACAATTTCTACGGGAATTATTTTAATATGTTATTTAACATTTAATAAGAATTTAATAGGGTTATTATAGTGAATTTAAAACAAAATTTCACATGTCAAATTTTTATTAAGCAACGGCCAAGGTATTTTAGTAATTTAGAATGTAGTTAATTTTATATGATGTTAAAATTTCATATGTAATTTAATAATGATATTATAGTAATTTTTAAATAAAATATCACATGTCAAATTTTTATAAACCAATTGTAATGATATTTTAATACTTTAATATGTGATTAATTTTATGTTATTAAAATTAATATATAATTTAATAGATGTGTTATAGTAATTTTGAAACAAAATACCACATGTTAACTTCTTATGAAGTACTCATAAAAGCATTTCCATTTGAAAGGCATTATAGTAATTTTTTGCCATTTGTGGTAGGGGTATTTTTGTAATTTTATTAAGAACCATACTTTAATAATTTTAGTCAATTATACTATGAGTGGTATTTTTGTAATTATTGTAAGAGAGTATTATAATAATTTTAATTAATTATAAAAAGATAAGTATTTTTGTAATTATGATATAAATGTATTATAGTAAATTTAGATACATATCGATATCATATCAAAAAAACAAAGGGTTGTTATACTAATTATCAAAAAGATTGTTTTAATATATGTTATTAATTTTGAAACAAAGTATCACATGTCAACTTTCTATTAAGCATTCATAAAAACATTTTTGTAATTACGGTGAAAGAGTATTATAGTAATTTTGATCAATTATGAGAAATGTATTTTTATAATTATGTCAGGAAGGTATTATAGTAATTTGAGTCAATAATAAGAGAATTGGTATTTTTGTAATTTAATAATAAAAAGAACATTTTTATAATTATGGTACGAGGATATTATAATAAATAATTATAAGAGAATATGTATTTTTTTTATTATGGTATGAGAGTATAATAATTAATTTAAGAGAAGAATTTTCTATAATTATGATATGGAGTATTATAGTAAATAATTATAAAAGAAAAAGATATTTTTTAATTATGGTATGAAGGCAAAATAATCAATTTGGTTATATGTCAAATTCTTATCAAACCAAGAGAGGGGTAGTTTGATCATTTTTTAGGGGTTTATTTTCAATATATGAATAGATTTTAAGTTAAATATAAAAAACTAAATATTTTAATTTTAAAATTTTTAATAATTTAAATTATAAATTTATTAATTAATTTGATATTTACTTTTAATCTTATAAGTTTTAAATAATGACATGTGATTAATAAATAGCATATCATATTAATTAAAAAAATTATAATTCAAATATCCAATTAAAATTTTTTTAAATCAAATCACATAAAACATTTTAATCTTCCTCTTTTACTACTAAATTATTTTCATTAAAAATTAAAATAAGACTTTTGTAAAAAAAACACATCAAAATTATCAAATCAATGTGAAAGAATATATTTTTAAAATTATCTAAAAATAAATCCAATTAAAATTTTGAAAATATTTTTGATTATTTTAAAAGAATAAAATAAAATAAGTTTAAATTATATTCTTTGTTAATAAATAAATAAATGTATTTTCACTAAATTTAATGGTAAAAGTTTTACATTTAACAAATTTTAAGTTATAAAAAAAAGTAGTACTGTAAATAAAAATTAACCATGCAAAGCATGAATTCAGAAATTTTAATTATTTTTTAAAAATTTTTATAGTAATAATCAAGTATTATATCATATAATTAATTAAATAATTAATTATTACATCATAATCAAATTACAATCATAAAATAATTAATTAACAAACTATACTAAGTCCTTGGCCCAGTAGCTAACACCCTATATTTATTATTGCTTTGAAAGATTATGCATTTAATTTATTTATTTGATGGGATTTTCTTGCGTATGAGATATATCAACTTATTATTATTATTTTTATTTTGGAATATTTTGTAACCCTATAAAAAAATAAATGCATTTTGCGATCATTTTCATCGATCAATGCTGAATTGGCTCATTTTGTAAAGTAATACTAATTTCCAAAAGACAGTGCTTCCTTCCAAACAAAACAAATACCAAAAACAGAGTTCCAACGGAGACAAAAAGCTCTGTTGAAAGTGCAAAATCATCAAAGTACTCTTTCTAAGCAATCTGAGTAACCAAATCCACAACTCTTTCTACAACCATTTTAACAGAATAATCAGCTAAAAGAAATCCCTCATTTAAAAGATCAAATCACCAAATTTCTTTTGACAACAAAAATAAACTTTTTCCAAATCTTCACTACAATCAAACTAAGGGCAAATCATAAGATCTCCTATGACACCTAAACACATCTTTTGAAGATGTATAACTCAAGAAAATTGCCTGCAACTGAGTAGCGACAAGTTGTGATGCAACTCTCAATGAAAGAAAACCATGCTTGTCGCCAATATGGATTTATGTATAGAACAACAAAAATTACCAATAAAACAATCACATATGAAACCAGAAAGCTCACACAAAAAACATATGTGTCCATGAAACTACCTTCTCCTTCATCATCTGCTGTAGTTGGTACTATTGTTGGTGAGTCAGTTTTAGAGCAGTTATTTTGCAGTGGAGGCCCACAAAGAAGAGGGTTTCCCTCGTAACTGCTTTCATCAAAGGTCCCAAACTGAGCTTTTGGTTCTGGAGTACTACCTGACAAGTTATTGTGTGCCACACTGAAAACCTCTAGAAAGTTCAACTCAACCAACTGTATAGGGATTCCCCCACTCAAGTTGTTGTAAGAAAGGTCCAAACTCTCAATTTGCTTAAGTTGTGAAAATGATGAAGGTATAACTCCGACTAAGTTATTGTGTGATAAGTTTAACGAACAGATTTCACTCAGGTTTCCCAGTTCCACTGGGATTTGCCCAGTTAACCTGTTACAAGATAAATCAATTCCAGACATATACTTAAGAATGTCACCACCGTATGAGTAGGACACACTCTTTGTTGTAAACTCTATCCATTCTTCCATGCAGCTATGAGGACGAATATGTGATAAATCAAACCAAATGTCTATTGGTACTAGTGGATCCTGTATTCGATTTGATATAGACGAATAATCATCTATGAGAGACTTCTCCTCTTTCATTGCCAGAGTTAAATTGCCCAAACAAGAAGGTATAGGACCAGAAAACATATTTCCAGAAAGATCTATGATGCTCAATGAATACAACTTGCATAATTGAACTGGAATTTCACCGTTTAAATGATTATCTTTCAAAAGAAGGACGCTTAAAGTAGAAAATGTGCCAATCCTTTTTGGAATATTACCGGTCAAATTATTCCCTCTAAGATCTAATGTCACTAATGTAGAGCTATCAAAAACAAGTGTCAATGGACCACTTAGTCTGTTTCTCTTCATGTGGACATGTCTCAAATATGGTGGATTGAAACAAGAAGGAATAGAGCCAGATAAATTGTTTTCAGAAAGCTCCAAAAATTCAAGCTCATACAAGTTGCACAATTCCATTGGAATAGAACCTTCGAAATGATTGTTGGACAAAGCCAATCTCTTCAAATGCGGTACATTCCCTATCCATCTTGGGAGCTTTCCATTAAAACTGTTATTACTGAGATCAATATCCTCTAGTGATGAATATGACAAATCAGAAGCAGAGACATCAATATCAGGAATCTCTCCGGTAAAATTATTGCCATCCAAATACAAATTTGACAACTTGCTTGTGTTGAACATCATAGGAACAATCTTTCCACTTAGGTTGTTATTTGATAGCCTAAGAATATCTAATGAACTTCCCATGATCAACTCTTCTGGTAATCTTCCAGACAAATGATTGTCCGATAGGTCTAAAAATGATAAAGTGTCCATGCTACTTAAACAAGGAGGGATATTACCTTCAAAGGCATTCTTAGATAACAATAACCATTCCAAATTTGGAAAAGTTGAACATATATTTGTCGGAATTTGGCCTTGCAATTTGTTATTAGATATGTCAATTACAGACACTTTAGGATTAGGAAGTTGTGGTAACAAGAGAGGACCGGTGAAAGAATTGCCCAACAAGAAGAGATTTTCTAATTTTGTGTTATTTTCTAACAACCATAACGGGACTGTTTCACTGAAATAGTTATAGGAAAGATCAACATATCTCAAGTCATATTGGTAATAAAGGAACTTAGGAGGTTGTAGGCTAAGTCCTTTATCTGTTGTACACTTTGACAAGCTGAAAACATTTAGTTGAAACTTTGGAATTGAAGTATGAAAGGAATTAGGTTCCATTACTATATTGTTTTCATCAGCCAAGAGAAACTTGAGATTTGGAAGGTTTGCAAGTGATAGGAATGGCATTGAAATTTGACAACGATTTCTTGAAAGGGTGACAGATCTAAGTGATGAAAGATTTGCTAAATGAGTCAAATTTCCAGTAAATTGATTGTCGGAGATATCTAACTCAAGAAGAGATGTCAAGTTACCCAAACAATAAGGAAGTATCCCCTCAAATGCATTCTCTTTGATGTCCAACTTTTCAAGGTTCTTTAAATCACACCAACCTGAAAATTTTATAAATTCATGGAAGAAATTCTAATTAAATTTTAATTTCCATGTCAAATTATATAGGAGATATTAGATAAAAGAAATAGAATAAAGGATTATTAGAAAGAGATGTATTCTGTAAGTTATATTGGAGAAATTATGGAGTCTTTAATTTACCTTGATTAGGCAAGGAACCCATGAGTCCACAGCCAGATAAAGACAAAGTTTTAAGAGAAGTGAATACTCCAATGCTTTGCAAAATGTTGTTGTTGAGATAAGAACCGTCTAGAAATATTTCCTCCACATTGCTCCACACATGCAATTCTGAGTAATCATAGCATGGAGGCATTATTAGATGTTAATCAACAAACATCTACTAATTTTTAGTCCTTTTGGAATAAATTAATGACTTACCTTGATCTTGAGTAGTCATAGTCTTGTTTAAGTAATTCCCTAGTAGAACGAAGGTCTTAACCGATGGGAATGCCTCTACTAATTTTAGTAGTAATGGAATGCTTCCATTGGTGAAAACCCCATTTAGATAAAGAACTTTTAACTTTTTCAAACTCTTATATTCTGTAAATGGAAAAAATAAACAAGTGTAAATTTTTATTTTTGTAGATAAGATTATATATCCAAGATTTATGCGAGATGAATTTTTAATAGAGAAGAATATTGAAACGGTAACAATTTTTAATATAAATTTTAATATACAAAACAATCAAGAAGATGAAAATCAAACAAAACTATAACATGAAAAGGCAAAATTTTTTTAAAGGGAATAAGAATGAGCAGTAGTCTAAAACAGAATGGCAAAAAGCAAACAAGTCCAACTCTAAAACACAACAAGCTAATACAAATAAAAATGGAAATATTTGGTATGCAACTGCAACACTTCTTAAAAAATGCAATTACCTAATGCAAATATATGTCATTTCTAATTAGTAATCAAATTATAATGTATTTCTTCCTTTAAAAAATTAGGTTTAATGAGAGCATTTCACCTACAATTATTGTAATACAATTAAGTAATCACAATTCAAAATTGTGTGAGGTCTAACAAAATTTTATGTGGAGGTCACACTTATAAATGGTGGATTCTTATGTAATTCTTTATTATAATTAGAGAATTGTAATATTGTAGTAAAAAGTATATAATAAATAATTAATTTCTTTCTTTAAAAAATTAAGCATTAAATTTTAATATGCTAAATTTGTTGTTCATTAAAACATCTACACCATTATAAACCTCACAAATAAAAATAAAAAAATTTATTGAAATCCATACCTTTACAGGCCACAAATTCATTCAAATCATTATCGCTCATAACCAGTTCCTCTATGTTGGTAAAAGCACCTAAGTCTGAAAAAAAAAAGTAATATATAAATTTCATTAAATCATCTCAAAACACGAAATGTGTTTTTTTTTTTTTAAAGTATTTATAACAGAGTTAAAATTTTGGTTGAAAAGTAATAATTAATTAGATTATGACTTAAATCAAGCTTTTAGAAATTGGTCAATTTTAACTGTCTCCTAGTATCTATAAATAATTTACATAATTTCATCATTAAAGAAAAGAGACAGATAAACTTATTTGTTATATTATCTTGAAACATGAATTAAGATTTTTGTTAACAAATTCAAAATTTTTGCAAAAAAAGTAATTTTACCTTTCATATCTATTGATCCATTTAACTGATTGGAGCTTATATCCAAATACTTCAAATTTGAAAGCCCGCTAAGTGATGCAAATATGCTGTCCTTAATGAGATTATCACTCAAATCAAATTCTTCTAAATGGGTTAAGTTCAGCTGTCTCCCACTATCTACATAAGGTTTACATAATTTCATCACTAAAAAAAGATTTACATAATATTTAATTATATATAACAACTTAACTAATTGAACAAATATAAATGCATACCTTGTGAGGATTGAAGGCTTTCAATTTTGTTGGAGTGTAAATACAACTCCTTCAAATTCTTTAAATTATTCAATTCTATGTCCAAGTTCAATTCAAATAATCATTATGTTAGCCTGGTTACTCAAATAATCTTTTACTGAATATTTTTAATGACTTTACAATGAAATAAACGGCAAAACAAATCTAAAGCTTTAAATGAAGAGGAAAAATCCCCAAATGTGATATGAGATTTTACCTATTTGATGAGCAAAAGGGTTCTAAAATAGAATTAAAAAAAAAAAAAAAGGGAGTTGTAATAGCTTTACCTTTAATATCTATTGAGCCTTGCAATTGGTTGTTCCCCATATGCAGGGACTTTAGACTTGGAAGGCCAGAAAGGATTGCAAAAGTGTCGTTCTTGAAGAGATTATTACTTAAATCAAGAACCTCCAAATTGGTCATCCTTAGTTTTATCTCCTTTCCTGTAGAAGAATATTTCTATTATATGCTACTGTTAATGGGAAATTTTATACATTGATCACATAATTAAGAACTTAGTTGAGTGAATTGAAATATATATTTTTACCTTGCTTTGATGGTTAGGAGCTTTCAATTTTATTGTAGCTTAAATCTAAGTTATCCAAATTTATCAAATTATTCAATCGTATTCCATACCAAAGAGCAATTAATATTATGTATAAAAGCAAATGTTATGCAACACCTTTTCCTGAAACAACAATTGATTTGAATGTAAAAGAAAGGTAAAGCAAGTTTACCATGAATATGAATGGTTCCTTCCAAGTGATTTGCACTCAAATTTAAAGTCCTTAAAGATAAAGACCATTCATATGAAACAATATGTTATTTTTCGAAGAGTTGTACCTTAAATTAAGAGTTTCCAACTTACTAAGTCTTGAAAGCCATTGAAAACCTATAATGAAGACAGATTAATATTTTAATTACTGTTTATCATTCATAATCATTATTAGATTAATTTAATTCCACCGTTTGCATGACTGGATCCAGGTGAACAAGTTTCCTGCTAGATATAAATCCTTGAGAGATAAAAGCTGACTCAAAGATAATAAAATTGTATCATTGAAGTAATTGTCACTTAAATCAAGGATCTCAAATTTAGCTTCGCAAAACCTACAAGAGAGTTCTTTTAAATATATAATAAGGACTTAGTGGCTTTTCATCAATAAAACAATAATAGAATTAAATATGAAATTGTAAAAATGAAAAAGTTATGAATGAATTTTCATATTGCAAATTAGCAATGAAAGGGCAAAAGGGACCTTCATTTTCAGCAAAACCAGCGATTCTATTCCCTGATAAATCAAGACGCTTCAGTTCTTTGAAAGGGAGAAACAAAGAGGCATTGAGATACCATCTTTCATCGTCGGACCATCTTGTTTGATAAAGAGAGAGTCCTATGACTCGCCTGGAGGAGGAGGAGGAGGTGTTGCATTCGACCCTTTCCCATTGGCAGCAATCTGAACCCTTGACCTCCTCCACCCAGCTGTTCAGATCATTATAATGGTTGAAGAAAGGTTTGAGTTGCAAGAGAGCAATCCTCTCATCCTCCCAACACGCATCAGTGCTATACCATCTGCATCCTTCTAACAACAACAACAACACACTCAACCACAACCATTTGGGTTCCATCATCTCTTTTTCTTTATATATGATCTCTATATTTTCAATTCTCTCTCAACTGCTACTTCTAAATATATAATAATAAGCCTTGCATCGAGCTTAATATATATAGACAATCGAGGAGTTTGGCAATAATAGCCATCCCTATAAAATGGCTTTTGAATATAAATTGATTAAAATTTGTCTACAGAATATTTTGTTAAATATTTTAATTTGGTTTATTATTTTTTATTCAAAAACAATATATATTGACAGTGCAGTAAGGAAATCAAGTCAAGGAAACGTTGGCAAGTCAAGGTCCTCGTTTACACTCTGTTTTGTAGGAAAGAAAGAAAAGGGAAAGGAAAAGAAAATTCCCTCTTCCTTTCCTTCTTACCAAAAGGAGTGTTAGTCTCTTTCTTTTTCTCCTATCGGTGGTGAATTCTACTGTTCTTGGAATTGAAACTTGAATAAATTAGTCACTAAAATCACTCTCTCTTGAAAGTGGCTGACATAATTTAGAAAAAATTTTGCAATGAGACAAGTGCGTGCCTTTACGTGAAAAATCAAGCAATAGACTTTTATTTTCCACAAATTAAAACTTTGTTCATGCTATATATAGATATATATATATATATATATAAGGTTTTGTCTCAATAATAAGAAAGAGGGATTGGAAGCATTAGATTTTATGATCAAATCTCATTGTATATATGTTGGATTTAATTTAAAATTTCTATAAATATACTAATTTTCTATTATTTAATTGTTTTGATTATTATTATTTTTTGTATCGATGATCAATCTTGATAAAAAATCATTCATTTCACAATCGTTCTCTTAGTTGTATAGTTGGAGTACTTGTTAAACCCAACTACTTTTTAGGTTATTGGTCAAAAGACTTGGATCCAGTCCTAAATATGATTTTTGAAACTTGAGTTCAACTTGAGAATTTTATTATATTAATAAATAATATATTTTAATTAAATTTTAATTTTAAAATATTAATATAAAATATTATTAACATTTTAATAACAAATTTAATTGAAATAAGTAAATTAGTTTGGGAACATTTCACTTATAATTTTTTATTACAATATTATAATTATTTAATTATATTAAAAAATTATATATGGATTCATCACTTATATGTGTGTGCTTTATATAATATTTTGATAAATCTCACATAATTTTAAATTATGATTAGTTACATAATGATTGTAAATGACACTATTGATTTTTTTTTTTTTCATTTTGTAATTAATACTTTAGCCCGTAGTGTGGCTTTTTCATGAAATTGTGGAGTTTGGGTTAAAAATTCTTTCAACGTTTTCCATGTGACTTCCTGTTACATTCTATTTCTTCTTGGAAAGAAGAAACTTTTATTGCGAGTTCCATTTGGTTTCTATTTTTTTAAAGGCATTTCATATCTACTTTTAAATCTATGAAATTATAACATCAGATATTGCATTGTTTGAAAGGATCGTCGTATTGGCATCAACTTTTAAATTCACATTGTCTTCATATCCACGTTATTTAATTGAAATATATATTTGGATTCTTAAAGTATATGTATGAATATAAAATGTTGTGATTTGTCTACGAGTTTTTCATTTTCTTTTCTGATTTCTTTGTAAATGATTAATAAAATAGTAACAAACAATCAATAATATTGTTGGGAAAAAACAACACCCACGCGCAGCAACCACACAAAATAACAAGCTCAAATCAAGAATAAAAATACACAAATATATTTGGTTCAGCCCAACTCAAAATGGCCTACTCCAAATCTAATTCACTATCAAATAAATCTTTACAATTGTGAGACTTTTAGAATGAGAAAAGTCTCCTAAAACTCCTTACTCAAAACTTAACCCAAAACTCAATTACACCCTTTTAATAGCCTACTCACTTAGCTATTCTCTTGGTGTCTAACTCTCTGGGGTTACCAAACTAAAACCAAAACATCTTATTTATAAGGGTAAAACCCTTTATACCTTTACTAAACTCCCGATGTGGGATACAAGACAAAATCAAACTCACTTAACTTTCAATGTGGGATTCTGAGATTCAAGGCAAATCCCAACAAATCCTCCCTTGACTTGAATCTCTAAACACTTCAACAGTATCTGCAAAGCTAACATGCTTACCTTTTTCTTTTCTTTCATCACAGGTATTCCAGCAACTGAGCCTCCATCAAACATGTACAAGTGATTGACCCTATTCCCTTGTAGAATCACACTACCATTCTTATACACTTTCAACCATTCATTACTACCATAATATGTGTACCCCCGAGAAGCTAACTCACCCAAAGCAATCAAATTGTAGTGACAATTTGGTACATACCTTACATGACGAAGTGTCCTAATAACACCATTGTGAGATCTAAGGCGAACACTCCCAATACCTTGAATCTGCACCTTTTCTTTGTTAGCAACCACAATATCTCCATACTTTTCATTCTCATCCAATTCCACAAAACAATTCCTATCATTGCAAACATGAACTGTAGCAGCTGAATCTAAAACCCAACCTTTATCACTTTTCAAAGTCTGGGTCTCATCTACACAAGTTGTCAAAACAACATCATCATCATCAGACAAGACAGCAGCAGTATCACTCTTTTCTTCATCTGATTTCTTCTCATTATTCGCCCTTTTGAAAGCAGCCATATCCCTTCTCAGCTTCCTGCAGCGCACTTGGATATGTTCATTCTCACCACAATAATAACATTCTACATCACTGTAATCTCTGTCTCTTGACTTAGATCTCCATCTTGATCCATCAATCCTCTTTTGAGTCCTCCCTCGATCAAAACCCTCTACAGCTAGTGTACTCCCCCCAGGTGATGAGTTCTGAGCTCCCATAAACCTTTCATTCTCACGCAACAGGGTAGTCACATCATCCAACTTCAAAGTAGACCTGCCTACTAACACAGTCTGAACTAAAGGCCTATAAGACTTGGGTAAAGATGACAGCAAAATTAAAGCCTTCTCTTCATC